TTTAGGGTTTAGGGTTTAGGGTTTAGGGTTTAGGGTTTAGGGTTTAGGGTTTAGGGTTTGTGATGCAGATCGCCAGCAAATGGCGATGTCTCTGTCGCATGCTTTAAACCGATTTAAACTTCGCTTTAGTCCTGAGAAGTTGGACACCATGATTATTCAGGCTGTCGGTGAGGCAACTGTCTCCTTTCTGTCTCCTTTTTTGTCTCCTTCCTGTCTCATCTTGTCTGTCCTCTGCCTCTCCTCTTTGTCTCCTTATTGTCTCCTTTTTGCCTTTTTTACTGTCTCCTTCTCGCTTCTTTTCTGTCTCCTTTTTGTCTCCTCCCTGTCTCCTCTTGTCTGTCCTCTGCCTCTCTTTTTGTCTCCTTTTTGTCTCCTTTTTGTCTCTTCTTTGTTTTATTTATTTTTCTTTTCTGGTTTGTTCAGGACACTGTATATATTATTTAATTTACTGTATAAGAATATGTCTTTATTAGGGTTTAGTAGTGTTTATGTATACATTATTTAATAATAATTTGTTTGTTTATTTATTCAGCGTTGCTTGAGGAGTTAGATAGAGAATTAAATAACTTCTCAATGCGATTAAAAGAGTGGTACGGCTGGCACTTCCCCGAGTTGTCGAAGACAGTCGGAGACAGTCTCCTTTATGCAAAGGTTGTGCGTCTCCTTGGGTTCAAACAAAACGCAAAGACAGCACCGCTAGAGACTCTACTTCCTGATGAGGTAATCTCTTACGCATACTCATACCTGCTGCTGCTGATTCTGATTCTGCTGCTGATGATTCTGATGCTGCTGCTGATTCTGATTCTGCTGCTGTTGATTCTGCTGCTGCTGCTGCTGATTCTGCTGCTGCTGCTGATTCTGCTGTTGTTGACGTTGATGCTGCTGCTGCTGATTCTGCTGCTGCTGATTCTGCTGTTGCTGCTAATTCTGATGTTGTTGATGCTGCTGCTGCTGCTGCTGCTGCTGTGGGTGGTATAAAGATGGGTTTGGTTGCTGTTGCTGTCTCCTTTGTGTCTCTTGTTGGGCCTGTCTTTCTCTTGATCTCCTTTTCTGCTTATCTGCTCTTCCGTCTCTTTATATGTCTCTTTCTATCTGTCTGTCTCTTCATATATCCTTGAGGGGCTTCGACTGTCTCCTTACTTCTCGTTTGTCTCTTGTGCATGTTTATCTGTCCCTTCATCCCTTCGTCTGTCTGTTTATTTGTTTGTTTGTCTCCTTTTCTCTACCTGTCTCCTTATCAACCCTTATCGATTTATCTGTCTCCTTGCCTGTCTTTATTTAATTATCTGTCTGTCTCCATATCTAAATGTTTATTCAAGTGTCCTTGTATTTTGTACATAATTAATTACTCTGTCTTCTTATCTAATATTTATTTTGTCGCATTGTTTTATTAATATGTCTCCTTTGCTCTCTCTTCCTATCTATTCATTAATCTGTTATCTTTGAATTGATTTGTCTGTCTCCTTATTTACTATTTAATTAATCTGCCTCTCCTCTTATATATTTATTATTTATATGTCATATATATATAAATTTATTATTTGTATATTTATTTATATGTCATATATATATATATATATCTGATTATTTACATTGTATATGTTTTTTATCTGTCTCCTTATACAAACAAATATATTTATATATATTATTTATCTGTCTCTTTAGATAAATAGATAAATATATTAAATAAATATATATATATATATATTATCTGTCTCCTCTTTTTGTAGATATGCGCGGAGGTTCGTTTGAGCGCGGAGACATCGATGGGCACGGAGATGACTGAAGAAGATTTTTTACATATCTCTGCTCTAGCAATGAGAGTTGAAGAGCTAACAGAGTATAGGACAAATCTGGCCGAGTATCTTAAATTAAGAATGAGAGCTGTGGCTCCTAATCTAACGCATATGGTGAGAGAAAAGACAAAGAAAAAGAGATATATAGAAAAAGAGACAGTTAAAAGAGGAGACAGTTCAGTGAAGAGACAGTTAGAAGAATATCGATAAAGGATATTGAACAAATCGTGCAGAGTATATTAAATTAAAAAGAGAACAGTGGCTTCTGATCTAACGCATATGTTGAGAGAAGAGACAGTTAGGAGACAGAAAAAGAAAGAGCAAGGAGACAGTTAGAAGAGGAGACAGTTGAGATAAGAGAAAGAGGAGAGAGGAGAGAAGAGACAGCTAAGAGGCAGCTCTCATGGGTCTTGGATTATGCGTTTAGGGTTTAGGGTTTAGTGTTGCACAGCAAAACAACGAAACTGTCTCCTGTCTCCTTAGTGTGTCTCTGATATCTTATCTGTCCTTTATATGTCTCTCGCTTGTCTCTGTTTATATCTCTTATCTCTCTTGCTGTCTACCGTCTCTTTTCTAGTGTCTTATCTTCTCTTCCTTTACCTTTCTTTCTGTCTCGCATATCTCCGTCTCTGTCAATTCTTCTGTCTCCTTTATCTATTTCAGGTCGGGGAGGTGATAGGTGCGCGTTTGCTTGCACACTGCGGCAGTCTGCTGTCTCTGTCGAAGCAGCCAGCGTCTACAATACAAATATTAGGGGCTGAGAAGGCTTTGTTTAGAGCGCTGAAGACAAAAAGTAATACACCGAAGTATGGTATTATCTATCATGCTGCTATTGTAGGACAGGCCACACCCAAGCTTAAAGGTATGCAGCAACTGCTCTTCCTGCTGCTGTTGCTGCTGCTGCTGCTGCTGCTGCTGCTGTTGTTGCTGATGCTGCTGCTGTTGTTGTTGCTGATGCTGCTGCTGGTGATGCTGTTGCTGATGCTGCTGGTGGTGATGCTGCTGCTGTTGTTGCTGCTGCTGTTGTTGCTGCAGCTGGTTGCTGCTGCTGTTTGCTCTTGTTTGCTGCTGCTGCTGTTGTTCTTATTGCTGTCTCTTTTCACTGTCTCCTTTGTGTCTCCACAAGCTGCAGCTCCTTTATGCAGTGTCTCCTTTTGTCTTTTTTCTGTCTTTGTGTCCCTCCGTGCATCAATCAAAAACTGTCTCCTTTTGTCTTTCTACTGCCTCCTCCTGTCCCTCATTTGCCTCTCCTTGCTGTCTCTTCTGCTGTCTCTTCTGCTTGTATTTCTTTCTCTCTCTTGTGGGGAGTGCCGATAGCTGCATTATATGCAGCTTATATAGGTAATATATATAATATATATATTTGTTTATATCTTTGTCTCCTTTTTGTTTAGGAAAGATATCGCGAGTGCTGGCGGCGAAGTTGTCTCTGTGTGTGCGAGTGGATGCCTTGACTGAAGCCGCAGAGGCAGCAGCAGCAGCAGCAGCAACAGATGGAGCAGCAGCAACAGATGGAGCAGCAGCAGCAGCACTTCAGGGCCCTGCTGAGCCCACAGTTGCTGTTGCATGCAGACGCTATGTAGAGAATCGCTTAGAGCAGCTGGAGCAGCAGCTGGCAGGCAGTGCGTCTCCCTTTCCCCTAAATAATAATAATATAAGCCTTTATATAAACCCTAATTAGCTAGGGTTTAGGGTCTAGGGTTTGTATAGTTTGTGCATTAGGGTTTTAGGGTTTGGAAGTGTTAAGAGAGGGTTTGAGGTTTCATCAGCCCAGAGCAAACAGAGCGTTCTTTAGGGTTTAGGGTTTGTGTAGCGGTTCGATTGGCTCCTTAGGGTTTAGGGTTTAGGGTTTAGGGTTTAGGGTTTAGGGTTTGTGTGTGCTGCAGGCGGCCCTCGCCCCGCGTCTAAACCCCAGCTCCAACGCTACACCCCACATAGAGACCTAAACGGCAGTGCTACGAAGTATGATGTCTCTACAGATGCTGTCGGTACACCGCAGCTGAAGCAAAAGCGTGTGCAGAGTGCAGACAGTGCAGCGGAGACAGCAGAGGAGCCGAAGAAGAAGAAGAAAATAAAAACAGAGACGCATGCATAAATAAACAACACCCGTCCTGTGCATTATCAAAGAAAGAACTTTTCGGGGGAGATGCTTCATCATCTGCTGCTGCTGCTCCTGCAGCAGCAGCAGCAACAGCAACAGCTTCGGCAGCAGTAACAGTCTTGAGCATTGCTGAGTCAGCTGCGCTGCTACTGCTGCTGCTGATGCTGCTGGCGCTGCCGGGGCCCCAGGAGGCTTTGAGAGCGTGCTGGCTTGTGTTTGTATTTTCTTTCTGTATGTACTCTTCTGTCTTTAAGCAAAATAAAACTAATGTTTATGTATATATATATAATATAACTTGGGATGAGCTGTACGTACACTCCGCCGTTGCAGCGCAGCAGCAGCGTCAGCTGCCTGTACACCCCAGAAAGAACCCCACAATTTCTCCGCAGACAGCTGCCAGCCCAAACCCTTCTACCTCAACTAGGCACAGCTACCCATAACCCTAGCTAGCCATAGCTAGCTGGAAGCCTAGCTAGCTAGCTCCAGCTAGCCAGAGTTTCTACTTTGGTTCTAAGGATGCACAGTTAAATAACTGAGGTGTATGTAAATACGTACACTGTAGAGACAGCGCAGCAAGAGACGCATGCCCCTCTGGTGTTTTGGGGTGTACATGCAGCACTGCGTAACTGCATGCATGCGGTGTACGTACACTGCACACAAAAGTGCGGTGTACGTACACCGCGCAGACGAGGCTACAGCCTCCAACTCCACAGCTGCAACGACAGCCCCCAAGCAAAAAAAAAAACACCCCACACCATCACTGCCTCCCTCAGCAGCAGCAGTTCCTGCAAATGCTGCGACAGTTGCTGCTGCTGCTACAGCAACTGCGGCTGCAGTTCCTGCTGCAATTGCTGCTGCAGCAGTTGCTGCTGCTGCAATTGCTGCTGCTGCTGCAATTGCTGCTGCTGCTGCTGCTGCTGCAGCTGGGTTTATTGCGAGTTGTGTGTGTTTGTTTGTGTGTGTTTGTCTGGGTTGAGGATTTGTTGTGTGAGATCTGCAGCAATACCTTTATTGAATTTATGTTGTTGTGTTTGAAGAAGCTGTTTAATATCTGTTTTAATTTGCTGGACATTTGGTTCTTGTTGCTGATTATCTTGTGTCTCCTCCTCCATGCAGATATTATAGAGACAAGCAACGAGTCTATCTTGAAGCGCTTCATCCCCCTCTTTAGTTTCTTTTAAAGCAGTAAATATATTATTATAATTATCATAATTAGGTAGAGCTCTAGCAATATCCGAGTTATATAGGAGACCCGCTAGAGCTCCTGCTGCTGCTGTCTGTGCACGTGTATTGTTTGTCTCTAAACAGAAAGCAAGAAGAAGCCTCAAGTCCTGCACATTCGTATTGTTCTTTGTAGTGTCTCCAATCTGTCTCCTTACTCTTTCGCTACTAGCCAAATTACACCACCCCTCAATACCTGCTGCACGCAGCAAATCGTTGTCGCTGAATAAGAGCTCTCTTAGAGACCCCCAAGCCCCAGCAGCAAATGCACGTACCCTTACATCTTCACCTACCGCAAGAAGATTTGTTAAAGCTAATGCACCTTCATACTGCAGCAGCTCGTGTGCATCTTTTAGCAGAGGTAGAAGAGCAGGAACAAGGTCTAATGCTTCATTATACTGCAGCAAAGAAGGATTAATAGATATACATAACTGAGCAGCAGCTTGCTGCAAATCTCGTACATCTGCTCCAGCAGACCTCCCTAGACACCCCAAAGCAGACAGCAACGCCTTTACTGCTCCTTGCTGAACCATCAACCCTCTTAAGTCTGTATGCTTTGATAATAAACAAAAAACTCTGCCTGCTGCATGAAAGACATTAGGAGACGGTAGGGGTTTATTGCAGCAAGCAGCAACAAGCAGCTTAACACCTCCTTGCTGCAGCAGCAAACGGCGTAGCTCTGCAGCACATGTCTCCTCGCCTAAATCTATCTCCCCATTCTGTACAGGCTTTGCTTCTGCTGGAAGCTGCTCATAAAAGGCCTCGAGCTCTTCTAGCTGAGGCTCGCTTAATTCTGCTGTCTCCTTACCCCTGCCTGACCTCGCCCACCTCTTCTTATCTTCTTTAGATTGCAGCAAGTTGCACAGGGCCCCACAAATCAAATAACGAGGTAAACTGCTGCTTCTGCTGCTTCTGCTGCTGCTGCTGCTGTTGCTGCTGCTGCTGCTGCTGCAGAATTGTAAACCTAAGTCTAAAAGGGATCGAAGCAAATCTTGCTGCCCCTCCTGTCTCTGTTCTTTTATTTGTTTTGCTGTTAGTTGTCTCAACCTTTCTTTGAACTCTCCATGCAAACTTAAGAAGAAAAATAACTCCAATATACATAAACCCAACTCCTCGTCTACCTGCTTTTGCTGCTGCTGCTGCTGCTGCTTTTGCTGCTGCTGCTTTTGCTGCTGCTGAGGGTGAAGCAAAAGAAGGAACTCCTGCAGCAAAGCGATGAAGTCAACCTGCTGCAGCAGCGTCTCTCTAAGTTCTGCACTATGGCAGCAAACACGTGCGATAGCAACAGCAATCTTACAACGGAGGAGAGGTGAAACGGTCTGCTGCTGCTGCTGCAGCAGCAGCAGCAGCAGCCCCTGTCCCTTGTCTTCTAGGAGTTTATGCCTGAGTTCAACAAAATCAAGGCATTGCACCAGCAGCGCAGCACCCACTTGCTGCTGCTGCTGCTGCTGCTTTGTCCCTGCTAGCCCTGCTGCTGCTGCTGCTTCTCCTACTGCTGCTGCAAGTATGTGCGGCAGCAAAGAGCCCTGCAAAATAAAGTCTCTCGCACTCTCTCTATCTGCATTCATCAGAAACAAAAGAGCTTGAAGGCCTACAGTAGCATCTGCCTGCTTGCTTGGGTCTTTGCTGCAGCAGCAAGATAAGAAAGGAGACAGCAGCTGGTCTATTAACCGCTGCATATCTACGCTGTCTGCTTCAGATCTTTCTTTGTCTCCTAACAGACGCAAAAGAGAAACAACACCAACCTCCACACTCCGCTGCAGTGCGCCCTGCTCTTCCCCCACACCCCTGCTGCTGCTGCTGCTGCTGCTGCTGCTGCTGTTGCTGGAGTCTGCTGCTGCAGACAAGAGCCCCAGAGCTGCTTCAAGGCATCGCTCTATCCCGTGTCTTAGCGCTAAGGCCTTTGCTTTAAGACCTAGGCGTCTCCTTGCGTCTGCTGCAGCAGCAATTGCATGCAGTGCTGCTGCTGCTACAGCAGGAACATCGTAGCAATCTAATGCTGAGGAGACTGTCTCTAAAAAGGAGACATCATGTTCAAATGCATCTGCTTCAGTTTGTTTTAAACTTCCAAGCACGCGCAGCAAATACACCGCACTTAGAGCCCGCCAGTGCGCATCTCCTATGCTGCTGCTGCTCTCGCTGCTGCTGCTGCTGCTGCTGCTGCTGGGTGGGGGAGGGGGCAAGACAGCAGCAAATCTATCAGGTGGAGGAGGTAAGAAGCCCTGTCTCTTTAGCCTTCTAAATGCCTGCAGCAAATCTTCAGATGTCCAGCAGCGCCGCACAGCCTCGCGACAGAGACGCATGCGCTCAGGTATAGCTAACGGCTCGTTCAAGTGCAGCAGCACCTTATCCCCGCTGCTGCTGCTGCTGCTCTCGGAGACGCCTAACGGGCTGAAGTGCACCAGAGACGAGACCAACTCCCAACCTGCTGCCTCCACTACAGCGGGAGCAGCAGCAGCAGCAGCACTAGTTGCTGCTGCTGCTGTATCTCCTGCTGCATCGGCGTTTGCTGCGGGGCTCTTCTTTGCGTTTTGCTGCTTCAAGAAGAGAGCTAGCTGCTGCAGCAAACCCTGCTTCCCTAGGGCTTCGTGCAGCGTGTGTCTCTCTTGTGCTAATCTCCCTATGTCCCTCAATGCCTTAACTCTGCGGCTGTCTGTCTCTTGAGGGTTCATAGCTATTTCAAGCAGAGTAGAAGGCATGCTGCTGTGGGCGAGCTGCTGCTGCTGCTGCTGCTGCGCCTCCCGCAGCTGCTGCAGCAGCAGCCCCGCGTCTTTATTAGAAGGCTCTTGCTGCAGCAGCAGCCGCACCGATCTCCCTGCACCCTCAAGGTCTCCTAGCAGCTTCAAAGCCAATGCCTTTCTATACAAAGCCTTGTTGTAGTTAGGCTGCAGCAAGAGAGCAGCGCTGCTGTCTGCTGCTGCACCAGAAGCATCTTGCTGCTTTAAGCGACACATTGAACGATTGCAATAGGCAGCAGCCAGCAGCTCCTTAAGCTGCACATCTTCCGCAAAGTTTGCTGCTGAGGAGCTAGAGGTTCCCCCTGCTACCTTTGACCCTGCTGCTGCTGCTGCTGTTGCTGCTGCTGCTTCTGCTGCTTTGCATGCTTCAATCATGCGCGTGTAAGCTTCACTCGCTCCAGCGAAGTCTCCCTCCTTAAAGAGGCGATTGCCTTCGTCTTTAAGGCTCTGAACAGCAGAAGCCGACAGGTTTGCGGCACCTGCTGCTGCTGCTGCTGCTGCTGCGGATTCTTCTGCTGCTGCTGAGGGTGCAGCAGCTGCAGCAGCAGCAGTCTCGTTGACGGCACGTAAAGAAGCCATGGTTGGGGTGTACGCACAGCAACAGTTTGTACTGCTCGTAGTGTGACTGCAGCAGAGGATGAGGGACGGCACCGCGGGTGCTCCTCCTGCTGCTGCTCCGGATGGTGCTGCTGCTGCTGCTGCTGCTGCTGCTGCTGCTGCTGCGGCTGCTGCTGCGCTTGCTGCTGTTGCTGCTGTTGGTTCCGGTACCCCTTGCTTACGAGGCAGGCGCCGAGTTCATTGCAGCAGGAGCGCCTCCTTTTGAATTAAGAGTGAGAAGAAGAGCAGCAAAATTGACAGAGAGAAGAAGACAGCTGCAGCAGAGTTCCTGCCGCACCCGCCTACGCAGCAGCTGCAGCAGCTGGTGGGTTGTGTTGTTGTTGGTAGGTTCAGGTGTACATGCAGGTTCGTCTTGAGGCCTTAGAAGGTAAACCCTAAACCCTAAACCCTAAACCCTAAAATAATACGTTATTTGGAAGTAGCATAACAGAAGAAGGTAGAAGAGCAGCTGCCTAGACGCTCGATAAAGCGCTCAGCACCACTACTACTACACTGTGAGAGGAAACAGACACCTAAAGTATTATAATTGAATATAAATATAATAATTTAAATCTATATATACACTTAAATTTAAAACAATACCTCAAAACATAGTCGCCCTTTGCTGCTGCAATCCATACGCTGCAGCAGCTGCAGCGGCCCTTGCGGCTGTGAAGAGAAGATGTATGCAGCAGTATATTAATTTAAAGTCTACGAATAAAAAGAAATATAATATCAAAGAAGTTTTAAGCTCTTTATTGCTTATTCAAGCGTTTTGTTTATTTTTTAAATACTGTTCAACTGTATGCAGCAGCTCACCATGCCTGTAAGAAGACAGCAGGCCGGCGACTGTATATAGAACATAAAAAGAAAATATTATTTTATTTGCATTTTTATATTTATTTTACTTTATTTTATTTTGAATTTATTCAATTTTAAAAGATATAAAATAGATAAGGGAAGGCTAACAACGACAACGCAGCCACAGCGGCCCATCCACCGCCGCCGCCTCGCCTTCTGCTGCTGTTGCTGCTGTTGTTGCTGCTGCTGTTGCTGCTCCTCGTGCTGCTGTTGCTGCTGTTGTTGCTGCTGCTGTTGCTGCTCCTCGTGCTGCTGTAACTTCTGCTGTTGCTGCTGTTGCTGCTAGTCTTGCTGCTGTTGCTGCTGCTGTTGTTGCTGCCCTTGCTGCTACTCTTGCTGTTGTTGCTGCTGCTGTTGCTGCTGCTGTTGCTGCTGTTGTTGCTGCTCTTGCAGCTGTTGCTGTTGCTGTTGCTGTTGTTGAGTCTTCAATGCAAGCTCGCTCGAAGCTACTGGGTAGACAGAGACAGCCCACACACTTCCAATACTAAACTCATTTTCCCGATCTCCTTTGCAGCGCCAGCACCAGATGTATGCATATATATATATATATATATATA